TTTTGGTCGGGGGGGGGGGGGTCCACTATTTGGGCCGCCACATTAAGCTCTAAACCGCAAGTTGTCCTCGAGGGTCCTAGTGCCCGGCAACGGATTTAGACTCCCCCCAGATACTGACCTAGTTTTTTTTTATCACTATTCTCCTGGACCCAGGCACCTGTTATTGAGTCCTTTGGACTCTCAGAGATTGTTCTGGACCCGAGACGCTAAACCCCAAATGCAACACCGAGGAGACATAGGCCGCTCTAAACCCTTGTCTTCCTCCGAGAGATCTTCCGAAGTGTCCCAGTGACGTCTGGCATAAACCCTAAGGCCCCAAGGCAAGGGCCCTCACAACCAATCCTCATACGCCGAGGATACAGCTGCCCATGTCCTACATGAAGCGTATGGGCTCCGTCAGGGCCAGGCGCCGGTGGAAAAGGTTTCGTAGGGTTTCATAAGGTCGGGGTTTACCCATAGGCTCCATAGTAGTTCCTTTTGGTGGTTTGTATTTCGGATCCTATAAGGTCATCCCAAAAAGGAACTACTATGGAGCCTAGGGGTACAGGGATCTTGGAGTTCCTGTAGAGTCTTTGTATGGGGTTTGCAGGTGCGTCGAAAGGGTCTCTTTCATGAGGGTTCTTGGGGTTTTGTAAGGTCTTTGTAAGGGTCTTGCCGGGCTTTCCCTGCACCATTACCCCTCTGATGACTACTGATATTTCGAAGCCCTGGGCGAAAGATCTTCCGGCTTGGGGTTTCTTTGGGCTTGCGGGTTTAGAGTCTAAGGTGTAGGGACCACCCCACATCGAGGCCTAAGCCTTATACACCATGAACCCTAAATCCCAGACCCTGAACCCTAGACCCCCAAACGCTAAAACCCTAAATCCTAGACCCTAGTGTAGCGTCAGAGTCCCAGAGGCCTATAACAGTAAAAGGGCTTTGGGTTTAGGGCTTTGGGTTTAGGGTTTAGGGTTTAGGGGTCTAGGGATTTGGGGTTTAGGGGTTTCGGGGTTTAGGGTTTAGGGTGTTAACTGGGACCGAACTTGAACTCACGTTTCATGTTCACGGCCACTCGCAGCGCCAAGGCATGAAACTCTCTTGAGCCCTCCGCCTAATACAGACTCGGGAGTTAATTCGCCATGTAAAAGAATGTGGTCAGCCAATGCGTGCTTGCGCATATGCATGTATGTAAACATATGTATAGAAAATAAAAAGCAAAATGAAGCAAACGTGTATGGCTATGCTACTTGTGTACGCTAGTTCGCTTGCTTATGAAAGCATAAGCAACATGTCTGCCACTGGGGCTCCCATGACCTAAAGCAACGGAGTACAAAGACTTACCCGGAGATCCTCATTGACAAGAGTCGCATGTCGCGGTCATGGCCTGACCGAAATAGCACTGCAGGGCCCAACTGTTATTCGTAATAACTAAATAGGTACAACATGACTGGGTGTGGTCACGACTCTTACTATCAAGTACTGTTATCCAGTACTGGTCAGCTTGACTGCAAGCGTTATCAAGTTATCTATCGGCACCTTGATGACCTCCCTGATTGGGCTTGGGTTGGGTCGGGTCTCAAAGAGTTTCGCGCGCTGAGGCGTTTAGGTTTTTATGGCCTGGAGGCCATGAGGTTGGAGGCCTTCTGATCAGCCAACAGTAACAGTCCGGCTTTGGGGAGTCTTCTCTAGGCGTTACGGCTTTCGGCTAAGACTTGGGAATGAGCAGTATAGCAGCTAAAAACCAAAAAACCTGACGTGATGGCTGGCCTGCAACCTATCTACCCTGAATCTACATCAGTCGCATGCATCGACACAACTGTGACCTCGGACCCCGCATGCGTGTTGTGTTTAACTACGTTTCTTCTCAAGGACTTTATCATTAAAGTACTGATAGGAATCACACATCTCAACTGGAGCCATGGTAGAAGGCAACCCCCAGATGCGCTTGGACTCCTGACTCCAGGCAAGAGACAGACATCCAACCGGCTGAGAGCAACTCCTTCAAGCAAGAGTGAGCCTTGCGTCGAGTTTAGGGTGTAAGGGTTCAACCTGTGACCCCATATCCTCATGAACGCTCGGGGTATGACCCCATGCCTCTAAGTCATGACCTCAATTCAGTAGATAGTCGGGTTGTGCTCATTTTGTGATTCCAGGACTGGGGGTTTATGAGCAGCATACGCAAACACAAGCAGAGAGAAAACAACATCCAACAAATGGAGGTGTGGCTATACGGCTAGGAGGTGACTATATTTGCTGCTCAGTTCAGTTGCTATGCAAGTAAAGTAGTACTTAGCACTGACTCTTGGAATTTGTAGAGACTGTAGCGCTTCGCTTTCGGGTTTAAGCTTCAGGGTGGGCAGAGATTTTCATTCTCGCGTAGTTGCGAGAAGTTTCACTCTGACGCCCTGAAGCCCGAAGGCGTGGATGAAAGAGTCAGAGAAGGAGAACTACCAGAAACAGGGGTTCGGCTCTGTGGGCATAACATGGGTTGGAACAAAGCTTAAATGACCCCTAGCGAACCGCCGCTAGTGCTTTCAAGCTCCAAAGCAGGCTTGCCTTCTTAGTCTAAGGGTATGCTTGTCTTTACATCCCGGTCAGTGTTGCTAACTTCGTATAGCATAGAATCACTAGCAGAGCCGTATTCGTCGCGGAGGTGGTCCTCGTAGTGTCGCATGGTGTGGTACAGTGTGATGACGATTTAGTTTTCCGCTTGTACGACCACGACGACGGCACGGCGACGCCGAGAGGGACCGCGGCGATGGCAGGACGACAGCGGACCATCGCGCTACCACAACAACTACCAACAAGTGCTGGTGCTAGTGCTAGTAGTAGTACTTGTGCTTACTACATCTTGCTAATACGACCACCACCACCACCACCACCACGACGACAACTACCCCTACCTACAACGATTACAGGGACCACTATTGCTAGTGCTGCTGCTGCTGCTGCTGCTGCTGCTGCTGCTGCTACTGCTGCCGCTGCCACAGCTACGACGACTACTCACGACTACTACTGTTACTGCTATTTGCTACTACCACTACTACTACTACGACGACGAGCTGTTGTTTACTGCTGCCACTGCTGCTGCTACTTCTTTTCGGTGCTTGTGGTTCAAGGCTTCAGGACTAAAGGGCTTAGTGTTGAGGGTTAAATTCTTCAGACCCTACATCCCGAAGCGTTCAGACCGATAGCTCCAAGCTGGAAGTCATCACTCTGAGTCATGCTTTCGCGTTTTTCGAAGTCTCGAATCCCAAAGCCCTCCCAAAGTTCAGGCAACTTTCATGTTAGGGATGTTGGTGTCGGGCAGGTGGCGGACGGGCCCGAAACTATGAGATGACGAGGTGTCAGATGCATCTTGTACATGCAGGAAGGTACAGGCTGCAGTCCAAGATGCATGTACAGCATGTTTTGCTTAGTTCGTTCCATGTTCGTGCATCGAGCCTCCAATCTTTGCATCATTCCGAAGCTTCAAGCGGCCACCTTCCCAGATCCCTCCCCTCCTTCGTGCGAGCAAGATGGGCAACTGCAACAGCAGCACCGTGAACACCGAGAGCGTCGAGATCGCGGGCGAAGATGCAGCGAAGCACCCGAGCCTTCTGTCCATTCCTCTGCGCACGAACATGAAGTTTGGGTGGAAGCCTGACATGCCTGATCATCGCGACTCGGCCAATGGACGGTATTGTTTCGTCCCTCTCGAGGATCTCATTTTTTTGGAGTGATGCACTCTCCTTGATTCCGCCCAGCGAGAAATCCGTCACAAATTCAAGAGGCCCTGGAGCAAGGATCCTTTCTCTTGCCTGCCCGAGACCCGAAATCCCTAAGCCCCTACATCCGGAGTAAATGGGGATACTATTCCTTAGGATCCTTAATCTCCCGGGTTCCTAAAGCCCCCGGAACCCACTCTAAACCCTAAACCCGATGCCTTATAAACCCTAAACCCTGAACCCTTAAACGCCTAAACCCCAAGACCCTAACCCTAAGCCCAGGTGATCACCACGTGACCTTCGAAGATGTGAGCGCGCCCAGCCAGATCAAGAGGAAGGGCGAGGGAGCCCTGGCCGCTGCTGTTTGCGATGAAGGGTGAACTAGGGTTTAGGGTTTAGGGGTTTAGGGATTTAGGGTTTAGGGGTTTAGGGGTTTAGGGTTTATGTATTAGCTCTTTAGAAGATGGTTGCTTAGACGTGTTACTATGAGGGCTACTTTTTGGATGGATGGGAGGGTGGATGGATAGATGGATGGGAGGGAGGGGAGGGGAGGGATGGGATGGGATGGGATGGGATGGAATGGGATGGATAGATAGGATGGGATGGGATAGGATAGGATGGCTTGCTAGGCAGGATAGGATAGATAGATAGTACCTTCCTGTCATAGGGTGTATGTCAGGTTCAAGAGTTACTACAATAAGGGTTATAAGAAGGGATGCTGTCAAGGGTCCCAAAAGGGTTACTGTACGTGTCCTGCTTTAGGGCATTGTACGTCATCAATTATATGGGCACGAGGAGTGCTACGATATGGATTCAGGTGTTGGGATTTTAGCAGCATTTGGGATTTAGGGTGTTTTTGTGCAAGGATTTGGGCTTCAGGCTATCATGCGGTTTGAGGGTTTGGGATTTAAGGGTTAGTGCGCGAGACCTCAAGAAGGGTTAGCGTGATTTTCGGATTTAGGGCGCAGAGGCTTTAGGGTTCAGTCAGCTTGTGGAGTTTCCGGGTCTCATTCTTTAAAAGCCTAGAGAAAGGTTTTGTGATGATGTTTGGATGTGGGTTGGCTTCAGGGGGTTACCTACGATGAGGAGCCTACGATTTAGGGTTTGTGTACCGAGTTTGTTATGGGCTTGCGGATTTTAGGGCTACTTGTAAAGGATTTCGCTTCGTCTACTTGGGTTTTGTTTTTCAGGCCGCATGCATGGCAATGTCCGAAAACAGCACTGAGGGGGCAATGCTGGCAAGTTGCGGCTTTTCATTTTAGCTCAACTAATCTAAGGAGAGAAGGAGATCGTTGACCTTCGACCCATGAACGGTGGCTTCCCCATCTTTGACCAGGGACACCTGGGCAGCTGCACAGCGAATGCTTTGGCAGCAGCCTTCCATTTCACCCTCCACAAGATGACGGTCGAGAACCACAAGGACTTCGCAGACTTCACCCCGAGCCGCCTGTTCATCTACTACAACGAGCGCCTTGTTGAGGGCAGCGTGAACCAGGATGCTGGGGCCATGCTCCGCGACGGCATCAAGACGATGTCCAAGGTCGGCGTTTGCCCAGAGAGTGTTTGGAAGTATGATGACCAGCATGACTTCTTCAAGCAACAGCCGGACGAAAAGTCTTACGAGCTGGCGCAGAAGTGTAAGGTGGTGGGCTATGCCCGCGTAGCCCAGGATTTAAGTCAGTTCAAGATGTGCATCAAGAACGGCTACCCCTTCGTCTTCGGTTT